TTTGATGGTGGTGAACAAACAGGATGTGAGTTTAGTTATCTATGTGTGTCTGAGTGACATACTAACCCCCTCCCATGCAGGCATTGCGTTGTGAACCACTCACCAAAAAACCAGAACAGAAACGGCCAAGTCCCAAATAGCCACCTACCCTCTTTACTGGCCTGGTGTGGGAAGACATTTTGACAAATTAAACGCCTGGTCTGGTTTTTATAGAGGCTCTTTGGATGTATAAAACCTCTTAAACCCTGTAGGGTCACCTGCTTTAGCTGCTTCTAAGCTGCTTAGATAGTGCATACAAATATTAATGTTTAAAAGTATGATCAATATGTCAGTATGGACATGTTACACTTCATTAGATTGGTTAGATTCTCCACAATTCAATCATTCAGTTCATTTAATGGAAACAACCCAAAGTCTAATTCTTATAAATTTACTGGTGTAACCTGCATGGTACAAGAGGTGAAAAGGGAAGAAAAAAGTGCTTTTTGAAGCGCACGTTAAGTCAGCTTGTTAAGTCCGAATGTGTCCGTTCCTTGATTATTAATTTCCTTTACTTTGTAAGATCAAAAGAATCAGTATAAAATCAGCAATATACAATATACAAGCAATATTCTGTTTGAAATAAATAAACTGTTTCATAGTAGCATAGTGCAAGAGGAATTAAAGGCCTGTCCCATTTCTCACATAAAGGCAGGGTCAATTCAGTGATTTTAGAAAATAAAAGGCCAGGCTATTAATCAAAGTTTTATGGTAAATGTCTAATAATAGCAGGGCTTTTTTTTTATTCTCAAACTTATAAATAGGTCAGTATAAAGGACATATATAATTGCCATGGTAACACATGGCTTTGCCCACTGTGTATGTAAGTGTGTGTTTGTGTATTGACCGAGAGGCTGCTGCTGGTATTGGTCCACCACAGCCCCAGGGTTTCTCGGCATCGGGTGGTGTCGAAGGAGGTAATTCAGTCCCGTCATTGAGCTCCAGTAATGGTTAAAAAAAAACACACTTGTGCATAAACAAATCGGCCCACATCCAATCAGAAATATATAATCCATCACCATCTCATGTCAATCCAACACATCCTCAATAGATCAATAAACTCAAATTACAGTCGTCGTTCCTGTTAATTGTGAGGGATTTAGTGCTAATGTTTTGACTTACCAGCTGCTTGCTTTCCAGTAAGGTATTGAAATGGGCTGCTTAATCATGTATGGCCAATTTAGAGTGTTACACTACTGATGGTGTCATTAATTCAGCATTTACACTGACATAATACACATTCAGCATTCACTTAGGAATGATGTGTGTGCGCCCATAGTGCCCTACTTCCTGGGTGTCTTTTATGCATGCTGTGTAGGCGTCACTGATGCAGTGGCAGTAAAAATGATATAGATATATATATATATATATATATATATATATATATATATATATATATATATATATATATATATATATATATATATATATATATATATATATATATATATATATATATATATATAATATATAATTTTATATTTTAGTGTGTGCGCGCATGCATCAAACTATTACTGCTGGGAGAAAAAACAGCCTTTGTTTCAACTCTTATCAGGGAGCTACCAGAACGGGACCGATCACCTCCCACTGCTGAGCTATCAATGTGCAGTTAATTGCCTTTCAGAGACTAGGCAGGGTGGTGGTGGTGGGGTGGGGGGGTCTGTGTGCATTTCCTTTTTTGCTTGTTTGTTGGCTTTTTCTTTTTTTTATTATCCTCAGATACAGTACAATATGAGGCAAGGTTCTGTGCCTGGAATTTTCCCTCATTAGCCTGCAATCCATCATTCCGATTGTTTACTTAAACGATAGGAACAAACGGGCTTGACAGCAGCACAAAGAGATGAAGAGGGAAGATAGAGGGAAGGACAGATATGTGGGAAGAGAGGGGGAGAGAGTGAGTTGGACCAGGCTTGGCAAACGGACAGCGTGTTCTGTGAGCGCAATAGAGGACAAGGTCATTCAAGGTCTCCTGTCATGCCTGATAGGTTACAGTGGGGGGTTTTGTGGTGTGATAAGGAGCAGTGAGGGGATGGTTGAGGGGGGTCCATGTAGTCTACATGTTATCTGTATGCATGTGACGTCTCTTGCCAGTGACCCATCAGAATGCTATGTGTGTGTGCATCCCCTTGCTTAAACGTCCACCGCTTGTGTTGTAGCCCACAACGTTAACTTCCTCTAAACTCCAGATCGGTCGTGTCTAATTGCGTTTGTCACGGTTTGTGACCTCGAATACCTTGGCACTAACCAATACTCTAGTCTCCAGGGCGTATGTTCGATGACAAAGGAATTGTATGCCCACTGCATTGTATACAGTAGATCAAGTGTTCACACTCTCCATCTGTGTCTGGAAAGAGCCCAACAACTGACTTTTTGAACAGAGGTGTGTAGGTGTCGAAGCGGCTCAGCTCAGCGTGGTACTGCACAAGTACCGCGCCCTGGATTTGTCCCTGGATTTGTCCTGGTAGGGATAATGCATAGATAATATATCACAATACATTTGGCAGGCATGAGGAGGCGACACCATCATGTCAAAGTATATTGGTGCCTGCAGGACTGGACCACTCTCCAGAAGCCTCTTAGCATTTTTCCATCATATGGCACCTCTGAAGTCAGAGGGGCTGTGTGTGTGTGTGTGTGTGTGTGGATTTGTGTTTGCATGCGTGTACGTGTGTCTGTTCAGCCACTTCTCCACTGTGTTACAGTGAGTTTGAGCAGGATCTAGTCTGTGTTATTGTTTTCCTTTTTTATCATAATTATCCATTGCAAATTTGCTTTAGCTGAACTGTAATATTTGCGTGTTGCAGAGGTAAAATGAGAACATTGATTTCAGTTACCGCTTAGCCTCGAGTCTCTAGTCCTGCAAGCCAGGCAGTTTGTATAAAACAAGATGAATGTGATAGAAACTGTAATACAATTACTAATGACAAATTGCATCCCGTGGATTTCGAGTTCAGCACTATTACGCACGCGTACACCAGCATGTACACAGACACACATCTACGTGCGTTCATAGAAGGGTGTGGATCATATTGGGATTGCTTTAAGATAAACGCTGATTGGATTAATGGCCAGAGATTGTGCAGTCGGATACAGATTCACTAAGGCAGATTTCCATCAGTGTGGCAGCGTTGTGCTGGCTTGCTGCTCCAAATAAAGAAACTGGAATAGTGACCCTTGTGATGTTGTTCCAGGAGTTTTGTACAAATGGTCTATTCCTCTAGTGTCTGTTGACATCAGAAACTTGTATGTTACTGTTCTAGTAGATCAGCAACAAGCAGCCTTTTTAATGCACACATCCTCATGCAAGTGCACACTTATGGCTAGAATATAGGTGCGTGTGAATGAGTGTAGGCATCTCAAGCTTAGACCACATCCCCTATTCCACTGCATTTCACTGGTTCCACTGTGTTGCGGTGTCATGTAGGTCACAGTCAGCGAAGTATCTGGCAATGTTTCCGACAGTAACTGTCATGCAAATCCACTGCACAGTTGTAATAAGAGATTTCCAACATGGTATGAGGATGTAGTCAAGGGACAGACTTTTTTGGAGTTTGAAATTGCTGATCAATGTTTGAGATGGACAACATGTCCTCTAATCTCTGCTGGCATGGTCGTCAACAAGTGGGGAACTTTGATCCTGATGCTGCTGTGACACTGCCCTGCAGTCAAGTCCTTTTTAGACAGAAGTGTTTCATTCAGTTCCAGAAATTATTAGACTTCTCTGTCCTTGTTCTGTTGTTTGCTTGTTAGTGAATAGGGGTACACAGCTAAGGGAAAAGACAGGGAAATACTAGACTCGTGACAGATTTGTAAGCCAAAATGTTTCTCAATAGAAACATGGTTACTTAAATTTATTAATCTCACTGGTATGAAACGACTAGCTGACATGATGAGCAAAATTAAATAGAATTCTGTAATGAATTGGATTCAAGTCTGGAAATTAGTTTCATTACTGAGCAGCAAACCTTGGTTCCACCTATACAGGTTACAGGCAGTGATAATGAAACTATATATTCCCCTCCTATGTTATGTGTTTTCATATAATGTGCCATTGTACTTCTTGTTTTTTAGTTGTTTGTTTCCTTTGTGTATGTCTGGCTTGTATCAATGTAAATGTATAGATAAAAAAAATGTAAAGTACAACATGAAGCCATGCTCTTATGATGGGCATTGTGGTTATTGTGGTGTTTTGCAGACTCACAGAAGTGCACGTGTTTCCTCTTTGACTTTAACGTCTGCAATTTCTTCAGAACTTAAACGTTTTGTGCCCATGTTTTTTTTTTTTTTTTTCTCCCTGTGACAAACTAATACATCAAACAGTCCATGACTAACAGCGCTGTAGATAATGACTGAAAATGGTACAACATAATAAGGCAAAACATTTCAGTTATTATGCACAGAAGGTAGGCACCTACCAACCATTTCAAATGACTTTGCTCAGTTCTTAAATAAGTTTGAGTTGTGTCTTCCTCCCCCTCCCCCTCCATCATGTATCACTTGATGAGTGGTAGGAAAATCCCCCATATTAGGTCACAAAGGCAGAAAATCAGTTTGGTCCAGATCAGGTGGAAGAGTGTGCTTACACAAGAGCAGGTATTAACTTGCTTCCACTCCAAGTTTCTCTTACTCAGATCTGGGTATTGTTTCTAAAACAAGAAAGAACAAAGAAGAGAGGAGGATATTGATCATGAGTTTACAAATTGTAAACTCAGATAAGGACTTTCGTTTGGGGTTTTATTTTTATTTCTTTAAATGTTTGTATAGTATCCGCTATTGTGGGTTATTTTATGCCTGAGGAAGTACTGTTTTAAGCTGCTAACCCTCACTGCTTTAGTTCAGTTTTGTCTCTTTCAGTCTAAGCGCTTGTGACTTTTTACAGTGTGTCCAGGAATAAAATGTCTTGACTCTCTGCCACCCCCCCCCCCCCCCCCCCCCCCCCACACACACCCCCCCGTCTACAGTAAATGAGTACGTGTTCATGGTCCAAGCCAGAGGGATCCAGATCAGAGATAACGTGAAGAACATTGGGGCTCAGGTTCTGGAGCAGGTGGTGAGAGGGGCTTACAGCATCAATGGCACAGGTAAAAACATACACATTAAATGCAGAGCTCCATATGCAGTTTTTTTTTTCATAAATGCAGTTGTATGGACACGAATCCAGTTTCCACCCTGGTTAAATAAAGAAAGTCAATAAAAAGAGCTGCTGCTGTACAGTCTGCCCCAGTCTCACTGTTGGTGACTCATGCATGTGTATAGTGCACAGAGCTTAGGCAGCAGTGAAAGAGGTGAAAAGATAAAAAGCATTGATGCAAGACAATAGAGCGCATAGCTAGACTCATGCCGATAAAGATGGGATTAAGTTTACGCTGATGGGGTTGTTGATACGTGTGTGTGTGTGTGTGTGTGTGTGTGTGTGATTCCAGATTATCCCTATGACTTCAACATGAGCGAGAGTGATGCTCCTCCCACCACATACCTCCCTGAGGACTTCACTTACCTCCCCACGCAAGTTTGCCCCGAGAGGCTACCCTCAATGAGTAAGTACACTGTTACAGTTTTGATTTAAAGTCTGTCTGTTAATGGCCTTGGCCTTGTAAAATGTTCCCATTAAGTAAATTTTCACTGTGCTTAGCTACATATTTGTTCTAGTAATGAGTAGTGAAGTGTGTGTGTGTGTGTGTGTGTGTGTGTGTGTGTGTGTGTGTGTGTTTATTTCAGCTATAATTGATCATGCATGGAAATATGATGTAATGGCACAGAATAGCTTAACCCAGCAATTCAAAGGTTACAAGCTTTGACGAGCGTTGTTCTTTTACCCCCTCCTTCTTCCTTTCTCATACCTATTGGGGGGTGGGGGGGATAGGCTAGTGAACGTGTATAGCAGGGGTATTCAATTAGATTTCAAAGAGGTCTAGTTAGAGAAAATTTCCTGAAGCAAAGGTCCGGAACATCAAAACGACGAACTTGCGTTATCATTCAGTACTATAACCTATAGTTGTATCAACACATGTTTTTTAGTCAACAACGGACTGTCAAATCAAATAATATTTCAGTCAGTTTTCACATCAAACTGGAGGGATAATAAATAATAACTATTCAAATAATAAATTCTAAATTTAAGTAAACTAAAGTGCCTAATTTTTAGAAAAAATGTAATAAAAAGTGTAGCTTGAAGTGATGAAGTGTAGTCTTAACCAATTTTATAATAAACACTCAACTGAACAGCTGTAATAACTCCTCTTCTCTTTCATTTCCTCTTACAGAGCTACCACTTTCCTACTTTCTGTTGTTCAGTGAGAAACGTGAGCTCCAGCTAGCATATTGGAGATCTATGAGATATTCTGGTTTTGAACTGCCCGTGGGAGGAATGTACATGTAAAAATCTGTACATTCTTGATTAAAAGTCATGTGAAATCTCTTTTATCTTTCGTCTCCGGTCTCTGGTGAATCTCGCGGACTCAACTCGCAAGCATCAGTATGCACAGATTTGATTGGCTGAGCAGCGTCACATGAGATGATTGGAGCACATGCGATTGGTCTGTGAGTTTCCTGGTCCTCTAAACCAGTACAGTAAATGCTAGAAAAGCTGCGCGGGTTAAAATAGAAACGCTCCGTCACGAGGTAGTAAGTCTCAATAATAAATGGGCTGTAGGTCGGCGGTCCGGAGAGGACGGCGGCTGGGTCCGGATCCGGACCGCGGTCCGCCTATTAGTGACCTCTGGTGTATAGGAACAATTTTAAATGTCATCAAGTACGCTGTGATGAATTTAACTCCTTTGAAGTTCTTGCTCTTAAAGTTGAAGGGCTGCAACCTATCATATTTGTTATAATTTATTGCCCCCCAAAACCGCCTGGAGGATTTTTATCAGAACTTCCTGAATTTTTATCTACTCTGGTTTTGACAGAATTGTTCTTTGTGCCGATTTTAATATTCATTTTGATGACCCTACCAATGTAAATGTAACTGACTTTTTAAATATGGCTATTTCTTTTAACTTCAAGCAACATGTCAAAGAGCAAACCCATAACCGTGGTCATACACTGGACTTGGTTTTTGCCCTGGGTGTCAGCATTTCCTCTGTGGAATTAGTGGACATGACCATATCTGACCACAGATGTTCCAACACCAACAATCTGGTCGATCACTTCAATCATATCTGCTTGTTGTCACTAAATATTACTGCTCCTCTAAAGGTTAGGCCTACGTCTAAAGCTAGTAAGCAACCCTGGATAAATGACAGCATTCGCAGCCTAAAAAGGGAATGCAGGAAAGCAGAGCGCAGATGGAAAAAATACAGTCTCCATGTCCATTACCTCAGTCTGAAGGATTTATTAATTAACTACAATAACATGGTTAAGGATGCGAGAACACACTATTTTTCTGAACTCATTACTACACATAAACACAACCCCAGGTTTCTGTTTAAGACTGTGGATCAGCTGTGTAAACCCAGCCCCTCCTTGTGCCTCAGCTGGAAGTAATGATGACTGAATTGTTTTTATCTTATTTTACCAATAAGGTGGTGTCAATCAGAGCCTCTATTACCCCCGCGGCCTCTTACTCAGAGGTCCCTCCCTCACCAGCAACAAGAAAGTTTTAACCAGTTTTATCCCATCGACTTGTCTGAGCTTTTAAAAACAGTATCACAAATGAGAGTGTCCTCCAGCCCACTTGATGTAATACCTACAAAATTTTACCGGGGGAAAAAAATGGATTCTGTTGGGCCCCATTTGATCTCTGTTTTTAACAGCTCCCTATCTACTGGTTGTGTCCCTGATTATTTTAAAACTGCTTACGTGAACCCACTTTTAAAGAAACCTGGTTTAGATCCCTCCCTCCCACAAAATTTTAGGTTCAGGAAGTACCACAGCACTGAGACTGCCCTGCTTAAAGTCACCAATGACCTTTTAATGTCTGCTGATGAAGGCATGTGCTCAGTCCTGGTACTCCTGGACCTTAGTGCTGCTTTTGACACCATTGATCACAACATCATGTTAGACAGACTGAGGCACTGGGTGGGGATCTCTGGTACTGCCTTAGAATGGTTTTCATCCTACCTGTCAAATAGGAGGTTTTGCGTGTCTATAAACAACTATGTCTCTTCATTCTGTCCAGTTAAATATGGTGTGCCTCAGGGGTCGGTCTTAGGACCCATTTTGTTTTCCTTGTATCTGCTTCCCCTTGGACATATTATCCATAAACATGGTATTTCTTTTCATATTAATGCTGATGACACACAAATGTACTTGCCCGTCAGATCCACAGACCCTGGAATGCTGAGTTCACTTAACAACTGCCTTTGTGAAGTTAAAAAATGGATCTCAAATAATTTCCTCCAGTTGAACTCAGACAAAACAGAAATCCTCGTCATTGGGTCACAGGCTTAATGTGATTTACTAGGGAACCAGCAGATGGCAGTATTTGTTTTGCCATCTGCTGGTTCCCTAGTAAATCACATTAAGCCTGTTGCAAAGAACCTTGGTGTCTGGTTTGATAGTAATTTAAATTTCGAGCGGTACACCACAAAGCTTGTTCAATCATGTTTTTATCAACTTAGATCAAATTTTTGCTATATTTCTATGTTAACTTCTAAGGACACCGAGACCATTTTACACGCCTTCATCTCATCACGCCTGTATTATTGCAACAGCCTTTTCACTTGTTTAACCCAAAAATCTACTGATCAACTCCAGACTGTCCAGAACTCAGCTGCCAGGCTTTTAACCAGAAAGAAGAAATATGACCACATTACCCCTATTTTAGCTTCATTACACTGGCTTTAGAATTGACTTAAAAATTTTATTGATCACTTTTAAAGCTCTTCATGGCCTCTCGCCTTGTTATATTTCTGACCTTTTAGTCCCATACGCACCAGCACGTACCTTGAGATCCTCGGGCAGAGGTCTGTTGTCTGTTCCAGAGTCTCGACTGAAAACTAAAGGGGACAAAGCGTTTGCTGTCAGGGCCCCGAGGCTCTGGAACAGCCTGCCCGAGGAAATCATGTCGGCTGAGTCAGTGAACTCTTTTAAGTCCCTTCTTAAAACATACTTTTATAGGAGAGGCTTTCCCGATGTTATTTGACTTTATTTTATCCCTTTATTTTATTCTATTTTACTTATTTTATATTTATCTTAAACGTGTATTTTGGTCTTTTCAATGTTTTCTTGCTTGTATTGTTGTCTTTGCACTTGTTGAAGCACTTTGTAACTTGTTTTTGAAAAGTGCTCTACAAATAAAGATTATTATTATTTCATTGTCATTAACATTTTCCTCATCTTATTCCTGTTATCTTTTTTTCCCGTCATTCCTCTCTTTACTATTTTATCTTATTCAAATGCACATCATGGCTCTCTCTCTCTCTCTCTCTCTCTCACTCTCACACACACACACACACACACACACACACACACACACACACACTCTTTCTTCTTCACTCTTGTGGCTTTTTCTGGCTCACACAATCTGTTTCTGCTTTCTCTCCCTCTCTTTTTTCCCCCCGCACACACACACACACACAGAGGGCAGGTTGGAGGTGAATATGAGCGAGGTATCTTTGGAAGAGGTGGAGAGATCCTTACTGGAGGGAGAGCCCAACGTGGTCCCAGGAGGCTACTGGAAGCCCAAAGACTGTTTACCCCGCTGGAAGGTAAGTGCGGATGTGACATTGTCAAAAGAACCGTTCATTGTCAAATACACAGGCAGCTGCGTAGTGGAACATAGTGCAGATGCTTCCATTCCGATTGATGGTACTATTTGCTGCAGTATGGTGATATTAATTGTGGTTAATCCCATAAACAGCGCTCTGTTGCATTTGGCTTGTCAAAGCGTCAAAAATAACATAAAAAGCGACACAAATATTCTGTATTTTTAAGCCAATTCAAGTTGTGAACAGTTGCACTGAAAAGTACTGTCCCAACAACTCTGCCACTAATGAATCCATAAAGCCCAAAGATCTAGAAACTAGTGAGCTACAGCTGATGTATCCAAACCTCACAAGATCACATTTACAGAGATGAATACATCCCTGTGAGTAAGGTTTATAGTTTTACACTGGAAAAGAAACGTTGGGGGAGACTAATCAGTGTCTGATATTGGAGGTTTGAATCATTCACAGTGCAGCGATACAGTAACTGGCATGTCTAACACGTGTCCCATGCGCAGTATCTGTCATATACATGTTTTTACACCACGTGCTGGCTTATTCTGTTGCTCACTGCGCAATGCAGGATGATTCAGTTGTTCTGATCATCACTGAAAATGCAAAATTTGTACACATTCAGTCACATATCACCCAAGTACAAAGTGCAAGAAACAGACAGAACATGAATTCAACCCTTTGCTTTGCAGCACTGTTTCATTCTTGAATCAGCCTCCTCCTCTATGTGCTCTTTTTGTTATCGCTCTATTTAAAAATATATATATATTTTTTTGGTCCAACAGCACAATCTTGCCTGCCATCTGTCTGTCTCACACATTCATTTGCCCTGAGGGACTGTGTATGTTCTGACAACCAACTCTCTATCTCCCTCTCATTAGCCAGCAATCTCCTTCTCATCTACCTCAATAGTTTCTCTCTTAGCCTCTCACAGTTTTGCATTTCACTTTCTTTTTGTGACAGTTTTCTTTTTTTATTGAGCTTCAAAGCAAACTTAAAAACAGGGACTGTCATAGCTACCTCTCTATGGGGAAAAATAAACACCTTTCACAGACATTTAGTGCCTCGGTGCATTCATGATTGATGCCTGCCAGATCTCGTTGTGGAAATGAGGTCTTCATGGTAATTAGTTTTGTTGTTATGTTATTTTCTACACCCACACGTCCCCATTTCCTCACTGCTAAGAGATCACACCTCTCAGAAACATTTACTTTTTACATACAGTACACTTTACAGTTCAGGGTGCTATTTTCCTCTGCATGTTACCATACATTTATATGCACATCATTTCATATCTTTGAATTCTTATCCATTCTGTGTCCCTTAGGTGGCAATCCTAGTCCCCTTCAGGAACCGACATGAACACTTACCCATTCTCCTGAGACACCTGGTGCCAGTGCTGCAGAAACAGAGACTCCAGTTTGCCTTTTATGTCATAGAGCAGGTATGCACACACATTCACAATCATTGGCAGGATTGAAAGATTCACCTGTGTCTAAGTCCAAACACTTGCAGTAATTGAGTCTCCTTCTTAATAATGTCTTGTGTTTCACAGTAGATAGTAGGTTGAAATGGGTCTATCTCTTTTTTTTTTATTTTTATTATTTTTTTTCCTTTTCGTTAGGGGGGCACGGAGCCATTTAACCGAGCCATGTTGTTCAACGTGGGATACAAGGAGGCTATGAAAGACCTGGACTGGGACTGTCTGATCTTCCACGACGTGGACCATCTCATGGAGAATGACAGAAACTACTACGGCTGTACAGACATGCCCCGGCACTTTGCGGTCAAACTCGACAAGTACTCCTACATGTGAGTCCTGACTCTGTCTCTATGGGGATATACAGTAAATGTAGTCCTTACTTAAAATTAATTTAATATATGTAATTGTCCCCCAAAGGCTTCCTTATAATGAGTTCTTTGGTGGTGTCAGTGGCCTGACGGTGAAGCAGTTCAAAAAGATTAATGGATTTCCTAATGCATTCTGGGGCTGGGGAGGAGAGGACGATGACCTCTGGAACAGGTGAGGGGAACACACACACACACACACACACACACACACACACACACACACACACACACACACAGTCCTCTCTGACAGAGCTGCAGAGCTGTCAGTATAGTTGACATTAGGTGTGCTCAAGAGGTAGGTTTGACCAGTTTGCGCTTAGGATGCTTTTGTAGTAGTTTTGTGTGTGTGTGTTTTATTTTTTTTGTCCTCCATTTACCTTTGCCACACATCATTGTTGTCCCTCTCCCCACCTACACAGCTCACAGAAACCTGTACATACTCAGGGCTCTCAGTATAAACCGCCAATTCTGATTGTCTTGAGTATTTGTTTATGTATGTAATGATTCCTTTTGCATGCAGTTTCTGTGAAACCGTTCTCTATTATATTCTTATATGTCCATATCATGTTGCACACAGTGATTGTAATGTAGGCCTACGGCTGTCCATGATGGTATTATGCTTTTTCTGAAAAATACCACAATGAAAGTCCTCACTGCAATGCTTGCTCAGCCTGGCTGTGTGCATTATGGATTAATAAGCATTAAACCTGTTTGTGTAGGGTGCGGTTTGCCAATTACACAGTAAGTAGACCACAAGGGCAGCAGGGACGCTACATGTCAATTCCACATCACCATCGCGGGGAAGTCCAGTTCCTAGGAAGGTTAGTGTCTGTGTATGCAAAGGTCCTTCACAATCGCACACAAATTACACTCACATACCCTTTGGTTAAAAGTGGAAGCTGATAATTGGAATGAGGCTTAGGCTCATGTGGTGTAAGCCAGTCACATGAAACACCACAGCAGTGACTTTGAGAGAATTTTAACTCTTTTAAAGACTTTGCATGTGATATGCTTGTATGCTTCAGGGCTGAATTCCAATCGTGCTCTCTCTGCTCACATTCTAAGTTACTTAAAGTTACAGCCCAATGAATAAATGTTTCTTAATGTGTATATAAGATAGTTCAAGAAGTAGATACTAGGTAGACATAATACAAATAATTTCTCCAAAATACATTTGCCATTTTAAATCTTTTAGAAAATTGGCATAATGACTCTAACTGGAACATTAAACTTGCTTGGTACAGAACTGCTGCATGCTCTGTCTCCTCTCCTCTGATGTTTGATTGTTTGTTCTTGCAGATATAGTCTGCTACGCCACTCAAAGGAGAGACAGAAAGTGGATGGTCTTAACAACCTGAACTACTCCCCCCTAGTGTCCAGGAGGCCTCTATACACCAACATCACAGTCAGCTTGAGCAGAAAGCTTGCGCCCATAGCTGACTACTGACGTAGGCACAGCTGGACTGCAAAACACCTGGGAATCAAAGTCCTCTGGGACATCAGCCATATCTCACCAGTTGCAGCACTGCTTAGAACTTTTTAGTTGACTGATTCTTTGCTTCTTCTTTTGTTTTTTTGTATGCAAAAAAGGAGACTCAAATAAGTATGTTGGATAAATCATATAAGAAATTATTGATAAATGCTGCACTTGTTTGTGCCACAGTCCATCACTCCTCTCATCTGGGCTTTTCTAGTCTTCAGTCTCCACATGCCTTTCGCACCATTTTGGCCTTCAGCATCCATTCATTCATTTGTGTTCTTACTCAGTCAATGATCAGCGCAGCCCTACACTATTGTGCTTGTTTATTAAAATAGGCCATGATACACACACACGCACCCCCCCACACACACACAACATTTTGACTTACACGTGCTGACATGGTCCCTGAGGCTTTGATTTTTCTTTGCTCTTGCGCTTCTTATTTCAAAAAATGCAGTAAACCTGTGAAAACATTTTGCATGCACACACGACCACACAGCAACTATAGCCGAGTGGATTCTTGCAGCTGGTTCTGCAGAAGGTATGCCAAATCTACAAGTGAAGACAGCCAGAGAAAATAATAGAATGAGTGTATAGAGTGTGTATACTGTATGTGAAGTTTATCCTCAGTTTAGAGAATATTAATACCGTAAGCATCTCTTTCAAACATATATATATTTTGACCTGTGAACATACCATTTTTTTAAGACTGTGATGTTTGTGTTTGCATAGTTGCATTGGATGTTCTGGCTGCCTGCAAGTGGCTGTATGTTGGAGAGCAATGTTCATCCTGTTAGCAATAAGCTGTAATATCAGACAGCAGAACTTAGACCTGACTTCCTCACTATACAGATGCAATAGCGCGGGTGCTAGCATGCCCTTACTGGACTACAGAGAAGGAGTGACTGCGTATGCAAACTTCACATACAACACACCTTTGCTTAGGCAAACATGCCACCCTTTTCAGAACCTGTGTGTGCATATCTGTGCGTAAGTGAGGGAGAGCTATGCAAATGGCCTGCATGTATCCTGTTGTCAGTGAAAGGTCTTCAGGGTGACCTCCGGGAGCCTTCACCTCTGAAAACTGTGACAGACTGACTTTAGATCTCACTTTGTGTGTGGCGTGTGAAGTCCAGGCCAGAGAGAAAGAAACAGCTGCCGTTTTATTTTTAGATCCCACATCCTTAATGTTTACTCACCTTCATTTTTTTTATGGGGGGTAATTGTATTGTTTGCCGTCACTGTCACTGGTGTTTACAGAAGCTTTTCCTTTGTTATTTTTCAGATTGTCTTGTGTTTGTAATACTGTTAGCCAGCCCTCCGCCACTGTGGTGCTGTGAAAACTGTATCACTACAGCAACCAATCTGTGGCTGCTGTTATTTTTTTATGTAGACGTGGATAGGGAAGAGAAGATTTGAATGCTTACCTAAGATGATTCAAATGCTTTGTTAGCTTGTGGCCAGGCTTTGGCCAGTCAGTTTCTTTGCATATATCCAATTTTGGGGTGTTGGTCTAAGTTTTTTTTTGTTCTGTGGCATGCAGCTTAACACTGTGCATTGACACAACTGTCAGCACTCTGGCAGTACTCAGCATTTGCTAAAATGTCCCTTCCCTGATTTGTGTGTTTGACAGTGTTGATTTTGAGTATAATATCCCAATACTGTAAACGTAGTTCCTTTTTAAAGACAACAAAAATACATTCAGACACTTTCTCCTCACTGTCTGTCTTCTAGTCATGCAGCTACTTCATTGCACACAAATCGCCTTGTATGCATTTCTTAAGATGTATTTTTTGTGTGTGTGTGTGTGTGTGTGTGTGTGTGTAAAATGTAGGTGATGGACAAACTGTGTGTGTTCCCACAAAGAAATAAGAAGTAAAGAGGCTGGACCTCATTTTATTTATTTAATCTTTTATGGATTATTTTCTGTAATTCAGTTTTTATTTTTCTTGCGTTTGATGTGATGATTTAGTAGGTGACACATGACAGACTGTGTTATATGCACTGAAACTTGTAGTTATGCGTATTTGTGTGGGATTGTGAGGGTCAGGTCTGTGTAAACAGGGAGCTGTTCCATTTCGTTTTGACGCAGATTCCCTCTTCAGAAATGACATGAAAAAGCTGGTTTTGATGAAATGGAACGGACCCCCCCACCATAGCCTGGTGTGTATTAATCTGCTAAACGGACACGTTGGAGGAGGCCATTTTGTGTGACAACCACAGGAAGAGTTAGACACATGCTAATGGTCACTGTCTTTCACTGAGCACCTCCTTTATACTAATTGATAATCAATGGTGCTGACCTTCCAGAGCTCCCACTGAGGGAGTGTCTCTCTACGTGCTTACTGGAACCAATCCTAACATCATAAAAGGTAAAATCAAAAGGAAAAACATCCCTGTAACTTTTCACCTCTTGCATTTTATTCCAACCTGCATGTGGCATAGATATTCTACCGTTGTTGTATTTTTTATTTTTAACATCGATACATTTGTAAACCTGTTGCCTTTCCATCCTGCCAGGTGAAGGTAATTTGTGTATTTGTTGTTCTGGTTCATTGCCACACGCATAAGCACGTGTATACCTCCTAGCCAATCACACAGGAGGTGCCCAGTGGAGGTAATGGACAGTAGCAGCATTTGTGTTGAGTTTTCTTTTCCATGTGTGTTTGAGTGAAATGGCTAAACCTTTCAGAGGTCTAACTGTCCTCCATTTAAATTTCGGCGTTTTCGTTTTTTGTTTTCCAGCACTGATAAGAAAATGATTTATAGTGACCTGGTCGTGAACAACTCACAGGTTCTTTTCTAGTGTTTGACAATTACATGCTACACTGTATATTATCTTTTATTTTTTCATTGTTTTAAATTAAAAGCTAGATGGACATATAGCAAAAGCCAAATGGTTTTAGTTTAAGTGTTCAGGTGAAGATTCAGATCTTGAGGTACATGTCTATATAAAGAGGTCCTCTAGATGACATAGATGTTCCTAGAGTCAGTATAAGACTCTATTCTCCACAGTGTAGAATGAGCAGCTTCATTAGCCAACACCGTAATTGGCAAGATGGGTTTTCTGCGACCACTAGACAGCTTTGTCCACTAGATGGCTAAGTAACGAGGGTCAAATCAGTCATCAATTATTTTGTTTTTTATTTAAAACAGAAAATTGATTGTTTTAGTTGGTGATAAGAGCATGCTGGCTACTCATTTTCCTGAGATATATTAGTACATGGTCCAGACCAAGGCCAGGCCTGCTGCTCACTCAAGAGGCTTCATCGTACCATGTTCTCACCTGCTCTTATCCATTCTGTGCTAGTTTAAATGAAGGGACCATTCTTTTGGTATCTGACAAGACTGGCAGCCTTAAAGCTTCTTAATTTATTGCAGTTTTTTTTCACTCGAGTTTTTATTTTTTTTATAAGCAAAAATATTTAAATTGAAAAAATAGCATATCAAGAAAGTGATCATTGTAAATATTGTTGTGTGTAGTGTTTTAGAAATTCTATAAGGTCTTAAATCACTACAAATGCTAGCGTAAAGAACAAGGCTTTGGAGAGGATTGGCTGGGGGTTTATCCGGTGCCATTTACTATAAGTGCTAGTGAAGCTTACACAGTGACATCAATGTTTTTACATCACTGCTTCCCAGCACAGCTTTCTTTTAAAAAAAATTAAAATTATCATTATCCCCTGGATTTTAGATTCCTCTCACGATCTCTGAGGTTTTCTGCATTCCAGTGGCCTCCCTGTATGCTGTATCAGTTGAAGAGATGTATCATAGCAGACGCAGGCATCAGTCTTCAGATGAAGTTAAGTGTCCCTGTATCTGCATGGGATGTGTCTTTGATAGTGACAGCTGTTGGGGTAAGGTGCAGGTCAGAGAAAGGCACTGCAGGATGGGGATGTGTCAGCCAAAAACACCATATGCTTACAATGCAATGAAACCCGGGCACCCAAACCAGCGACACAATCCACTCTAAAATCTACACAGATAAATTTTTTTGTATGAAAGCTAACTATTAAAAATAGAAAAAAAGAAAAAGGATTCAAATTGCTAAATTTTAAAATATATATTCTCTGATTGTAAGGAGAGACATTCTCCTTGAATTGAAGCCATTTGAAGCCACTTGTCAAAACTTGATGTCAGCCTTATGTGGATCTGTTTGTGTATTGGCATATTATCTTTTGATTATTGAAATTTATATGATGGAGATTTTCTTTTATACCATCATTGTTATTGTCGAAGTACACCAATAAAATGAAACTTGTAAAGATACAGTACCCCGTCTCTCTCTGTGTTATCGTTCTGTGTGCGTGTTGAGATCCATCTGCTTTAAATGTGCTGACCAGCCCAAGCATTTCCTCACAGTGTGGTCAGTGGCTCTATTTTAAATGTTCAGAATAATAATGTGGTTATTCTGCATCCTAGCACTACGATTGTAAACATGCGCGCACACAAGCATGCTTCCTGTAAAGCGACATTTACTTCATGACCTACACAAAATGCAGAGCACAAACTATGAGTCTATATAGTATATAAATATCGGTGAGAATCCTGAAGTAAGATTCCTTGTTTGAAGACAAAAGGCCTACATGAGCACCGCAGGGCTCTACACTGTAAGCTCAGGATATAGACCGCATCGCCTCCCCTTAAACGCTCTTGCCCAAACAAGATTGTCTCGTGATCCACAGTTAACAACTGAATCCTAGGCATTTTGGGACCAGATTCCTTTGTTTTAGTACACTTCTTTTAATAGCCCCATTTCCACTCTTGTCACTCTGAGTGCTCTGCTGTGTGTTTGTGCGTGTGTGCGCACAATCACATGTACACATCCGGAGCCTGAGACAATGATTATGCTTGTTGGGCTTGACCAGCTTGTCACCCATAAATGAAAAACAGAGAGCAGAATGAGATGCTTTCACAAGAGATCACTTTAGATTCATTGAATCAGAGCAGCTCCGGCCCTGTGGCATTTAGCACATTAACTGCGCATCTCCTCTACTTAACAGAAGTGACAGCTGATAATTTAATTATGCTCTCGGAAAAGGAAATGATAAGTGGCAGGGATGAGATATCTACATGGGAGTGTAAATGTACTTCACAGTATTTTTTTTTCTCAGCATAACATAAAGGAAAAAGAAGGCTCTGGCAGTAATTAATAAAATGTAGGCTATTGCATTTTAAAATGTCCAAAAATACCCTGAGTTTGTCTGCACTGAAAATGCCCCTGCTTCTTGCCTGCTGGGTAACAGTAGTTGCAGTGTGTGTGAGAGGCTTGGCAGAGGCACTGAGCCCTGTTGGAGTAGCCACATCTTAATGGAGTCTGGGAAACACAAGGCTTTGGTATGCTAACACAAACGTCACTTAGCTGTCAGGCACACATAGAGGGCAGCTCTTAAGATCTCAAGAGTCGTCTTGGCATGTGTATAACACACGCCAGCACACACATACACATCCGTTATTAATTCATCCACACACGCCCCCTTGCCTTGAGTGTTGTGCCACTCAAAGGCTTTGATGTCATTTGTGGCGCCTTTGCCTTTGTATGCTACTTGTGTCTCTATTTCAGTGCACCTCTCCCTACAGAGTGTCTTAATCTGGAATTACTACGGATAACTACATTTGTGGCTTTCATTGGTGTCACACTCTTCATCCACACTTCCTCTGTTCTACTGTCTTTGCGCGCGCGTGTGTGTGTGTGTGTGTGTGTGTGTGTGTGCGCGCCTCCTGTACATACAGGCTCAGCACTAGAGAGACATGCCCTTCAGCTTTCCACAATTTTTAGCTTTGTGTGTATGTTATATATGATATATGAGCTGACATCATGCATTAAAGGGCCCATGCTCTCATATCTAATCAAATCAGATGTTTGAGTAACAGAGAACAACAGTGCCTTTTGTGTGTGTGTGTGTGTGTGTGTGTGTGTGTGTGTGTGTGTGTGTGCATGCATATGTGCATGAGTATGTGCTGTCTCAGAGAAGGAGAGCTCATGTGTGGATGTCACATGAATTTGTAATATCACTTGGTATTACATAACCATTTGTCATGGTCTCAGTCAGGTATGAGCATTAGCCAGCGTTGCCGCAGCCATGCTGCTCCCCCTTCTCTTTGGTTCTATTTTCTCTCGTCATGTTCTTTCTGCTTCCCTTCTGCTTTGTCGTCTCCAGGTAACCAACGGGAACAATCCTTTGTGTAGTGCTGCTTCCCAAAGGACAACAGAGCACCCAGCTGCTGTCGGGCCCTCGGGCTGTGTGCCCTGCTGTGTGCTCTAACTGTTTGTGTTTTAGTATATGCTTGTGCATTGAGTATCCGTGCAGGCAGGGATCCTCTCCAGCTCCTGTTGTGACTCCAGTTTGCTTTCCTGTCAGGATACAAGGGAGAGAACTGAGGGACGAGGTGGTTGTAAACACATCTGTTTCCGACTCAAACATTCCTCATCCTCATTGACACTGCTGTGCTCTCTTGACTCAATGTCCATCCTTTGCTCTCCTGCCTGCCTCACCCTTGTCAAATCAAGTCATTCAGCTTGAGTATTCCCTTTTCAGTGACCCGGGCACATGTCTCCTCCTTTCTTTGACTGTCACATGTATTGTATCTGCTCATTTTCCCCCTCTAATGCCATTTCATGTACATTTTTTAAAGTTTCTTATTACATACTGCTTTATTCCTCCTGACTCATGCTAAAAGATCTTCTCACTATCATCCCTCAGCCAGTTATGTTTCCCAATACAGCATATTCATATTTGTCTTTGCCTGTGCCCTCCATCCTCAACATCCACTCTGTATTGCCCCTCCAGTATTTTTGCCTCTGGTTTTCATTATGCTGTGATTGCTTTATCCTGTTCTGGTTACTAAGAGATGTTGTCTTTAAAACTATGTGCTGATGCTGTACTGAAGACCTGCTGACAGTGCGTCAGTGGTGCAAGGTCAACTAATTTTTTACAGCTCATTTCACTCGGCTTCATTCATTATCATTGAGTCTCACCTAACCTCTGGCTCTACAAACACTGTAATATCCTCCACACTTTCACCTAATGACCTCCCCTTATCACATGACCATGTCATTTGACCACAATCATGTGAACTAGTGTGGTTTGCAACTTTGCGCTCATGCTGTTTCAACGGCTTTTCTATCAAACAAGCACAGTTACCTTCATGTATCAATTTAGTAAAGTCAAGGGGTTGGAACAAAAATTGATTTCTCTAGCAGAACTTGCTTACTCTGTGCAGTCACGCATCAGATTCCTCCAGCCTGTATGTGGTGCAGCATATATTAATGATACATTTCTGGTCCCCATTACATGTTGACAGCCAGTTAATCAGTGAGAAATGTTGCTGTCTTAAACTATGTGCTAATATTTGGTGAAACCTGCAGAGAGTGCAATGTAATTTACAGGCTTAGTCATAATTCAAAATCTGTTTGCTGTTCTTAATCTGTGATTGCAGCTATTGAGAGAGAATAAATGTGATGCAGCTGTTCAGAAGTTCATTATTTTCAGGTTAACACTATGGCTTCTCATCTGTCATGTGGACTTCAACATGGGAACCTTAGTAGGTGTGGCAAGCCATTTTAACTTTTATTCCTTAAAACTTACGAGTCGCTATTTAAAAAGCTAATAGTACTTATTTATTAGTAACTATTCCATTAGGTACTATTAACTATTCCCGTTTTACTAGTAACAATTGATTAGATACTAGTACTTAATTTTTAGTTACTAGTAACTAATCCTTTATTTACTATTAACTCTTTCTTTAGTTACTAGTAACTTCTGAAATAGTTACTAGTAACCATTTCCATTTTACTATAGTAATATAGTATCTATTTTTTAGATACTAGTACCTATTCATTAGTTACTGGTACTTATTCCACTAGTAACCTGAATTCTTACTAGTAAATTCTCTTTGGTTACTAGCTCTTCATTAATGACTAGTAAAATGGCTTGTTAATAGTAACATTTTCATCGTTACTAGTAAGAATGGAATAATTACTAATACCTAAAAAGTAAGCACTAGTATCTACACAGTAGACACTAGTAAAATGGAAATGGTTACAAGTAACTATTCAAATAGTTAGAAGTCACCAATGAATAGGTGATATCGGAACTGCAGAGCCCACTGATTTAAATGGAAAAAATGTGCAATTTGTGACTAGTAAGTAAAAAAAATTGTTACTAGTAACTTACGGAATAGTCACTAGTGACAAAAATTAAGTACTAGTATCTAATCTATTGTTAATAGCAAAACGGGAATAGTTACTAGTGTAACAGTACTTTCTGGATTGGTAGCGTTCTCCTGATCTTCGGGCCTGTGGCTAATAAGCAGTTACAAGTTCCTCAATAATCTTCTTTAATTGACACCAAGATGCATGACAATAACAACACACACGTTTTCACAGTCCTGCGACTCTGTCACACTTCTCTGTCTCCCCCTGGAAACATGATGGTAGGAACCAAAATACTCTGCTCTGAATTAACAAATGTTAAGGAAACAATTACTGTGTACTAATAAACTTAACAAAATAATATTATATTTTCTCCTACTGTTTCATAGGCAACATAAATTATTAACAGAAATTAAGTAACCACAATCTATAATGTATAAAATAACTAAGGTTACGCTAGTAACTAATGGAATAGTTACTAACTATTCCATAACTAAAGTGTCAGCAGCACCTCTTTTTCTTGAGGAAGCTCCGCAGACTTCAGGTTCACCAGTCAGTCCTGATAGCTTTTTACAAATATTTCCTTGAATCTGTAATAACTTTCAATAAATCAGCCTGGTTTGGATCACTATCAGACATCCATCGCAACACACAAAACAAAATCATAACAATGAGCAGTAAGCATAGATAAGATGCTTGCCTTTGGTGTGGGAGACCTGGGTTCAATTCCCACTGTGTCCACCACTTAACCCCTAGTTGCTCCAGAGGCGTGCGACGTCTGACATGTATAGCAATTGTAAGTCGCTTTGGATAAAAGCGTCAGATAAATGTTAAAATGGCTTTCCATAAGTAGGTGTAGTTTTTGACCATGAATTACTTACTGTTAAGGGTGGCCAGCAAAGAGTTTACATTCCTCCAAAATGTTTTTTTTTCAGGTATTATTGGTCATTCTTGATCAACATTTTATTTGACCTTTTATTTTATTTGCTTGTTCCACAGTCTGTTGATATAGAGAAGAAACAGTCTGGACATGAAACAGAGACATTTGAGTTATTTTTGTGATCAACGAATTATAAGGAAATAGAGGAGCATATTCAACCCACCTGACCCACATATTGGCAAGTGAATTTTAATTGCCGCCTTTAGGATCTCGATATGCTGTCAGATTCATTGGGAATTCCAACTTCCCACTGCGGACATTTTTTACATACTTTATCACGTACTTTATTTTGTTAGCTGTTACGAAAACATGGTGCCTCCAAAGTATTCAGAAAGGGTCACAAATTATTTGGTTATTATCATTTGGTGTACTGAATGGTGTACTGAATATGTACTGTATGTGACACTAGAGAAACAATTGCATGAAAAATAGGCCAAGGGGCCAAAGGGTGGGCGCTAGTGCTCAACAGACAGACATAGACACCACTGTTTCTGCTATCACGGCCATTATTTGTGACACTCTCTGTATCTACAGTATGTGGTCAAATGTGTTTCTTTACTGCAATCGAAATTTGGGACCCTATCTAAATACTACAGAAGCACCATCTTTAGTAGCAGCTAAAGATAACACCGTGCACTTAACTTGTTTGAGTCCTAATGTACTATATAGAGTACATCCTTCTAGTGATGTTAAACAGATGGGGGTGTGGCCTACATAGCAAATGTTCTGTCTTTTCAAAATGGCTCACCACCAGCTTCTAAGGGATGCAAACAATCATATCTTTTAGATATTCACCCATTACAGCAAAATGTTTTTAAATGTTTTTTTTTTTTGTTAAAAAAAGGTTTCTTAAAATAAAATATGAAATTTTCCATGATGAATGTGTTTTAAATTAGTTTTGTATTGGTATATATAAGATAACTGTAAAATGTAAAGCAAATTAATGGCTAACAATGCTTTTTTTTTTTTTGCGTCAAATTAGACCTGCTGACCCCTACCAAGGACATGTGATAATCTCAATTACTGAAATTATGTAAATGAAATCGATATTTAAAAACATTATTTCTTCTGGGTCTCACTAAAAATTATGAAAAAAGAATGGTTGCAATGTGCTGTAGCTAAACTTGGGCCACAGAATCTGATGTGTCAGAGAATTTGGTGCAAAACCACCAAATTCATGTTTTCATACACAACATTTTGTGCTTTTGTATGGTTTAATTATTTGTGTGTTTTGATTTGTTGCCATTTGCACATAGTTTTGTTATTACATGTTTTTGTTGACATAATAAATAAATGACAATAACTCCATAATAAACCCCATATTAACTTAATAGTCTAGCTGCTGCATACAATTCCACTTACAGGGATAAATTAAGTTCTAGTGAACAAGAAATTTTAAAACATTCTACAAAACAATTCCAAGATTTTATTTCTTCAATCTTCCATGCCATGTTGTCACTGACTTTTGGAACTTCTCTGCAACTTGGAGCAATGCAGTAAGAAACAAACATCAACAGTCAGAGCAGAAACACTAAACATGTGTAAAACAGAAGTTTACAAAAATGTAAATAGCACCAAGATGACATTCAGTTTTTTTTCATAAAGACCAAACAAGTGTCCACACAAAGGATGTCAAGTGTGCTTGTCAGTGGAAACCCGTAGCAGCGTATTAGTCCCATATCATCCACCAGGATTTGTTATTGTCATTTTGCTAATACAAACAGTTTAACATCATAACAATGCAGTCACTTCATATAAGTTAAAAAAAAGTAAAATGTGAAAATGTAGCAATCACGAGCAGAGGAAAAAAACGAACAAATGCCCTATAGAATAACATCTCAAGGGAAAACATTGCCCAGCTATACAACCATAGGTGAGTCTTTGTATTCTGTGTCTTCTCTCCCCTCTTTACTAAACTAAATACCCAGGACATCTGGAGGCACTATGTTGGGGAGCTTATGGGAAATTACTTTCATCGGTTCAGTTAATTTGCATCTGTGCCGATGGGATTAGAAAAAGAGAGGAGAGAAGCAGAGGAAGTCACTTGAGCTAATGAGAAGCACACATAAGTCTCTTTTAAAATGTAGCTGTAGCTCAGGTGCTACTGGTCTCCTTTTTGGTTGGCTACTTCCTTGGCAACGCAGTCTTTGACCTCCCCTTTCAGCTCTGCTAGCTGCTCTGAATGGACGCCAAGAGTGCCATTCACTTGGGCCAGGTAGGAATCTGAGTGTCTCTCAAGCTCTGCCCTGATCCTCTCCAGGTGCTCTGCCAGTTCCCCCAGGCTGCTGCACTGGCCCTCTACCTGGCTCACCCTGCTATCAACGTTCTTCACCTCCTTCTGTACTTCTATCGCTGTGCTCCGGCATCCCTGCAGCTCCCCAGACAGCTGTCTCTTCAAGGCCAGTAGCTCTCCCTTCAGCTGAGCCAGCCGCCTCTCCCCGGCCCCCAGGAGAGAGGCCTGGTGGCCCACTAGTTTGGTGATTCCTTGCACCTGGTTGACTAGCTGGTGCTCTCTCTGCTCCCAGGTGGTGTTAGCGTGGCCCACTTCACTTGCAATGAAGCTAATAGAGTCCTTTAGGCCCTTCAGAGTGCGGTTCACAGAGTTGATGTTGACCTTCAGCAGGGTGATCTCTCCCTGGACGACTCCCTCTGTGTCCTCCTGAGCGACACGGAAGAGCAGGTTCTGTAGGGTGGTGTTTAGGCGGTCCAGCTGGTTAGAATGGGAGTTCAGGCGGTCAGTCATCTTCTTCTCCATCCCCTCACAATCTTCCTCTACTTCAGTGAGACTGACACCCCCTGCTGGCGGAGTGGAAGGTGAACAGGAAGAGGTGCAGAGGAGCTCCAGATCTATTAATTGTTTCTGAATGCCATCCAGGTCTCCCTCCACTCTCCTCCTCACAGACTCAATCTCTGTCTCCAGTGCCGGGACCACCTGACCCTCCAGGAGTGCCGGCGCAGTGGCATTACTCAGCTCCTCAACGGCCACAAAAACTCTCTCTTCCAGGGTCTTCAGCTTGTCCTCCAGCATAGTCTTGAAGCCATCCAGACCACCAGGGAGCCCTGCTACTCCATCAGGTCCTCCCTCTGTGGCATTGAGGCGACCCTCTATGTCCACTAGGCGGGTCTCGATCAGTGTCTCCACGTGTATGCTGTGATCAGTGATGGCGGTATGGAGCTGTCTCTGAGATTCTGTCAAACCTTTAACTGACTCCTCCAGCAGAAGCACACGCTGGGACAGACTGTTCACCTGCAATAATCAATAAATTAGTAGTTCATTAGTGATCAAATGTCCAGTCGTACATGATTACAATGTAGATATGTTGCTCTCTCTGTAGCATAGTCTGAAATGTAGGCATGTAGGAAATGTTTTTAGTAAATGGATTAGTTTCACATTTTGGGAAATATGACTTATTCGCTTTCTCACAGAGACATAGATGAGAAGGTTGACACCACTCTCGTATGAAGCTACAGCCAGGTGACTGGTTAACCTAGCTTAGCTTACAATGCAATGCTTCAGGTTTTGTATGGATTAAATAAAGGAGATATCATTTGTTTATTAATTAGCTTTAGAGGTGCTTGTAGGTGGATCTTGTTACCTTTGGATAGAGCCAGGCTAGCTGTTTCTCCCTGTTTCTGGCCTTTATGCTAAGCTAAGCTAAACATCTCCAGGCTGGCGCTTCATGTAGACATAGAGAGTGGTATCAGTCTTTTCATCTAACTCTCGGCAAGAAAGCAAATAAGCATACTGTGCAAAATGCCAAACTATTCCTTTAAACCTTCTCTCTAAAGTTTGGTGGTGTTCCTGAAGAAATTTCCATCCATCAAAACAAGTTATTTAAGGACTGTTCACTTGATGTGTTTACTGCATGCTTATAATATTATAATGACATCCATGGCATACCTGTCCACAGCAGCTCTCAGTGAGAGTTAGACCCTGGATCTGAGCCTGCAAAGAACCCAACTCCTCCCGCAGCCCAGTCTCTCTTCCATCAAGAGACTGCTGCATCTGCTCCTGGCCATCCATGTGGTCCCTGTGGCACTTCCTCTGAACCTCCCCAATCTTCGTGTCACAGTGGCTCTCTAGACTGGTCAGACGGCGCTCAAATCCATCCAGGATCTCAGCCCTCATGTCAGCCAGCTTGCCGTCTATGATCTCGTCCAGACGAGCAGCGGAGCTTGGGCCAAGGATGGGCGTGCCTCTAGCTCCTTCCAATAGCCTCTTCAGCTGGCCATCATGACCCAGGACCATCCCCTAAGGACAGAGAATTTTTTTTTGCATTCAATAAAGAAAAGAGAAGGGGAACTGAAGCCTGATCAGTCTGTGCAGATATTGTATCGACTATGTGCAAGCATTGTGGGACTGTACCTGAATCTCCTCTAAGATGTGTGTTTTGGCTCGCAGGTCATCCCTCACTTCTGTTACCCTCCCTGCTAAGTCTCCAAAACCAGTGAAGCTTTCTCCTCCTTCCAGTCCATCTGGAGTCCCATCTGGGATCACCCCAAATCCCACTGTAGAGTCGGGCACACGGGGAGCGTTGGGGAGCAGGGACACCAGGATTTTGTTGGTGTCTTCCCGGAGAGATGTGCGCAATCGCTGCTCGAGGCCAGCCACCACCCCGTTCAGAGTGTCTAGACCCTGGGTGAGGCGACGCAGGTCCTCCTCCATGTGGTCCAAACGTTCACCAGTCACTCCTGAAATCCCAAATTTGTTACCTGTATTTCCAAGAATCAAACACAAAGGAGAAAGGATGTTTTTGTTTTTATTTGTGAGAAAGTCTACCAGCACTGAAGATGGAATGATGCAGCATTTGAGGACATTTAAAAAGGAGAAAGAGAAAATATATGCTTACTGAGATGTGCATGCACATCCAACACAAACAATAGTTGTGCAAGTTTAAAGCCCAGGATTATACAACAAATTGGTTGCCATTTGTTCTCACCATAGTTTGGTTTTCCATTCCCAGCAGGAAGCTGTCCTGTGGGTATTGGTCTATGGTCAGGCACACTGGGGAAGGGTTTATCTGGCTCCAATTGGCCACCTCCAGGCTTCTTGTCCACAGGAGGTCTAGGACCATGGGGGAACCCCTTCATGCCTGGGCGATTGGGCCCACCCGTACCCTTGAAAGGTGGCATCATGACGTCAGGCAGCGATGTGGGTCCATCATAGCAGTTTTCTCCAGAGTAACCGGGACAACATCTCCATTCCAGCTCTGTGACTGTCTTAAAACCCACCTTGTACTTTGGTTTGTAGAATGTCCTGTACCTAAAGGAAACATGACAGAAAACTTGTTTACTATCAGAGGTTCTGAGTATGTTACAATTGTCATAAAACTTGTCATATCAAAAATTCTATCAGAAGTGCTGCATTTGTTTGTGCTAATTAAGAGCACAGAGCCAGGGCAGAGTATGAGAGGTGCAGAGCAGAGATAAAGGGATGAAGTTCTCTATGGGATTAAACACAGTTTAGAGGGAGATTAGGAGATTAGGTGTAATGTAAACGATGTGGCATCAAAGGATTGAACCAGGGTCAGCACCCAACTTCACTGTTATTTTGTTGAAGCTTAATTTCCTTTTGATTGCGGATCTCTTTCTCCGTCACATGCATGCACATACACGCACACACAGCCCTTTAAACTTTAATACAGCTGTCGGACAACAACAAATATATTCAAATATTCTGTCTCCATCTGGTGGGTGCACATGTGTTGGCCCATGCCTTGACTTTGGCTCTCCATTCCAAACCGTGGATTCATGAATATAGATTAGTACCTCTAATCTTAAACTAATTGTAACCTTATACCTCAAAAAGCAGTCTCTACTCATAGGGACCTTAATTGTTGTCCCCACAGAGACACATGCCCCCATGGTTTAATGTGCATTCAGGTTAAAATCTCCACCGGGATATAAAAAACATGACGCACGCACACACACACACACACACACACACACACAGAGTCATTCATCTGTATTTTTTTGGAAGAGAAAATCTCTCCCTCCTTAAATTACCCCTGTGTGGGGGCTTTTGAAAGGCACATTAAAAATAATCATGCTTCATGAGCATGTCTCCAAATATATGCACCACATAGGTGGTATATGTATCAAGCAAGACTACATCCAATTAACACCAATTCCCCCAAGTGCGATCTCTCTGTAGAGGAACTGCTGAGTTCTGAGCTGAGGACATTATTTATACTTTATTTTCTTTATTTGTACTTTATTATATGGACAGTACATCATGTGAACACTAGAGGGCAGCATTGACATATAGAGTATATTCTACCTTGTTCCACATGATGCAGTTTACTCAATATTAAGTTATACTTACATATTTTAAACTATACAACCAACCTCCTTATGACTCAGAAGGTGCTGTCAAGGTTTGAGGTGCAACATTGGCTGTTTCTTTTATTCCATTTTGTTGTTCTGTTGAAAAAACTTACATGACAACCGGACATTTCTGACCCCAGATGCACTTGGTGGTGTACTCAGCCTTCACATAGGTAGCCACTCCATCCTGCATTGTGCATGAGATGTTCTTCTGGACAACGTACGCACAGTGGTTTCTGTGGAGACAGTAGAGGGACATTAGAATCCTTTGCGCTGCACCATTGTATACTAAAGTCAGACTACATAGCTAACAGCAACTACTGTGTGCACAAGTGACAGTGATAAAGGTAAATTCTAAAATGTCATGTAACAGTAGCACAAGTAAAGAAAAGTCATCACATCGGTCCATCTCTCAGTAATATTAGTTACACAGCATATACATTAAGCAAACATCAGCCACTGGAGGATACTTGTCATAAAATTTTGTTTATCACTGGAACTTTAAACAAACAAATACTTGCTCAAACAACACTTCTCATCTCATTCAGTGATATTCCCCTTTTAAGCTCTGCAGCTGGGTGATGAGATTATTAATTCCTCACAAATAAGTATTTCAAATATGAAGCCTCCAGTTTGAAAGCTTTACTGTAGGCTACTGTTTACTTTAATTATTTTGTCTGTCCTCTATTCTGTTGTGAAGTGTTTTTTGTAACACTGGTTTTATAAAAAACACTTTCATTTCAAATTGCTTTTTTGATTTGCAACCCATAACCAGGTCTTACAAGGTTCAAATGGGTTTCCACAGGGTTTTATATTTCATATAGATAAATTGTAAGTGATGTTTCCCGGTTTAATCTAAAAAGCCACAAATTTATGGATGCCTCTGGCATTGTCAGTATGATGGCACAGGATGTTTGCTGAGTTTTGTCTGGATGGATTGTCTTTTGTTTCCTTCTAGTTAAAAATGATAAATCAGTAACTTTTATTGGCAAATTCATTTATTTACAGTTTTTAACACTGAGCTGAATTTCTTCATGCAGACACAAAACAAGAAATATCACCAAGACCATTTTCAGTCCCAGTCGTGCTCAGATGTGTCCAGAAATAATAAGTGCACTATTACTACTTTGAATAGTTGTTGCATCATCCTGGAGCTGGACCTTCTCTCACTTTCTCTCGCTTCATTGCCAGTGCAGCTACAGCAACTGCTAAATGTTACCCTGGCCCCCATGCAACACAGGAAATGATGATCTGCGCTCTTTAGGCTCACATGTGAAGCATTTCTTACATTCAGTGGGGAGCATTTAGCAACACATGCTGTATTTAACGTCACTCCACAGCTGTTTCAGGACAAATAGAAGTGTTTGGAAGAGCAGGGAGGGACACAGGGGCCGAGGAGGGTCCACATGCCAAGTTAACAGCTTCAGAGGGCTAACTTCGAATCTGTGAGAAACCACTGCACTCCGGCTGCTTTCTTCAAATCGTTGAGTGTGTTGACAGCGTTTATGTGGGTTTGTGTCTGTGTGTGTGTCACCACTCTCCCTGTGTTGACATAATGTTAATAGCGGTGGAAGGAAAGGGGCAGGAGTGAGAATGACAGAGCTCCTTTCATACCAGCCTGACAACCTGCTGCCAGGTCATGCGTTGTTAAGGAAGTGGTGGTTATGACCTGAACTGAGGTGGTGCGATGGGAGTTCTAAATGGGAGAATTTACTGGTTGCTGCAGATTATTATTTTTTTGTGTGTAAAAATCTGGCTGGAAACATTGTTTTTGTATCAGATGGTACTTAGGTGTATGAAATGAAGACAGTAAGCTTAATTTCACAATGCAAGTGGTGCTGCATCATAATGTCATAGACATTTTCCCTCTCATTAAAACTCCTGACAAACTCTTGTAAGATAAGATAAGATAAGATAAATCTTTATTATCCATTTCTAGAAACTTGTCTTTGGCTTCACCAGGTTCGTTAAAAACATTAAAAACATCAAATGCACATCACAGGACACATACGACCAATACATTTAAACACAGAAACCAATAGGAGCTTCAAGTAGACCGGTTATCTCTTATGAATTCATCAAAGCAACTGCACAAGGGATAAAAGAATTTTTAAAAAGTTTTTTGTTGCCCTGGGTAGCCTGTAACGCCTTCCTGAGGGGAGCTTGTCAAATTCAGCAAACAGGGGATGTGAAGGATCCCCCACAATTAGTTGTGCTTTTTGCCCCTATATACCACTCAGTATCAACAAATACATATGTTGCATAACCTTTTTATAGATATAGTCAGAGTTTGCTGTAAAACTCAATCTACTATCAAGTAGGGTGCCTAAGTATTTAAAGTCCATAATGTCAACAGGACGGTCATTATTGTTTACTGTTTTTAGGCTAAGTGGGATGTTATTACTGCAGATCACCAACTCCTTAGTTTTACAGGTATTTATGACTAGAGCACTGTTTGAACACCAGCTAATTAATTTGCCAATGAGATTAAAATATGCTCTCTCCCCACCCCTTCATGCATTAAACCAACCAAGCCATATCATCCGCGTACTTGGGAAGTGGAGTGGTTCTGTTTCCCTGCTCAGTCTGCTGGTGCTGCTGTTACAATTCTGCTAATAATTTGCTTTCATGCTACTTCTTTTTTTCACCACCACCCCACCTGCAGGCTCTTTTCTTTACGATCCCTGAGCGGTGTTAACACTGGTCTCTCCCTCTACTCTCATCTGCTGCTAACAGAATACACAGAGCCTTTGGCGCCAAAATAAATCTTAGTTTTCTAACATGTGAGAAGTCTGGCACAAATATATTTGTACAAGATCATATTCACATGTTGATGGCAGTAGAGATTCTTAAATTTAAGAAAAACTGACGATACTTTCATCCACTGAATGCGAGAATTATAGTGAGAGGAATTGAGTATTATATATAGTATTATTATATAGTAGTAAGTATTATATAGGAAAACCCTTAATAGTGTTCAAGGAGTAAGGTTTCCTCCCAATAAGTGGCATTTTCAACTGCAACAAGAAGCTTTATGGATTAGCTTTTTTGTGTATGTGAGATTTGGGAAAAGGTACTGTAAGCGTACAAGGATTTTGGACAGCTGATGGAGAGCAGACTCAGTACATGTGTATGTCTGTGTATACAGTTCTGTAAGTGTGTGACCCTTCTTACATTACGCACAGAGCTGATCAGTGGGGTGAAAAGTGACCATGTTCAACAATTTGTTTGTCAATTGCACATCTGCGGGGAGCCAATGACCTTCAAACTCACACACAATGCCTGAAAAGTGCAGGAATCCAGATGTAGATGGGATGAAAAGAACCCCCCAACTTTCTCTTGGTCTCTGTTTCTTCCTCAGTCTGCTCTTTGCCTGTTTTCACAGATCTGTCAATGTCATTTGGGTCTGTGAGTGATATTTTATCCTCAGCGTCTTACAGACAGAGGGGCTCTGGCTTTGTGAGAATCAAAGTCAACTGCTGAGATAAATCCTGTCCCTCTGCACCACAGTGTCAGTCAGGGCAACTGCAGGTCACCCTCTCTGCTGTGTAAAAACAGATCTCTATAGGACGAATGGTGAGTTTCAACTTGAGAGATAGTGATAGTGTGTGTGAGCTGCACACTCTCACACACACGTGTGCACATATTATACTCGCACAATGAAGCTCTTTGCCCTTTTATCTCACATCCACAGAGACCACACATCTCTGCAGGATGAGGATTACTCAAGCTTTATTACCAGAAATACAAACCAATGATGGGTTAGTGGTCATGTGTGAGAAATGCCTTCTCTCAGCTATTTTCACACCTCATCTCTCAACCAATGTGGCACAAGGAGACTTTAAAACAAGTACAAATACATTCTGATGTTTGTTTTAGCACTCGCTGGTGACAGATGGGAAGGCTTGGCCACACTAGATAACCCAGTAAGTGCCAGACAGTAAAAGTCACTAAGGTCAAGTCCAATGTATTTGTGACTCACATTTAAAAACAACAAGCATTGGGCAACATCTAGTTAATAAATAATTATAATTAACAGTAATAGCAAAAACATAATCTTGATCTGACTAATTGGTCATGGAGAAATGAGTGGTTTTCAAACCAGACTCATGGAAATCCATCCAGTAGTTTGTGAGATATTTATGTCCAGACCAAAGTGGACTGACCAACAGATCTACTGACATTGCCATCCACAGAGCCACGCCGCCAGCATTGCTAAAAATGTCTAACTGCAGCTGATTAGTATGCTCTCTTTGTCTGAACTTACCAACCTTATCTAATGTATCTAATGTGATTACATTCCACTCGTCTGGTATGCAGTTTAGAACACAATTAGGCCTTGAAGAATTCTCCTACTAATTGACCCAGGTCTTAGTCAAATGTTACTCATTGCCTGTTTGAATCTTTCACAGTACAGCTCTACACCGAGGCGTTTTTGAGCCAAAAAGGCAAATTGGCTTCCTGCATATTATCTACAGCTGTGTTTGAGGTATTTCTATTTATTAATATAATAAAGAGCAATGTTTCTCTTGTGAATAAGAAATCTACAAGTTGAACCCTACTTTAACCAACATGAACCTCCCACAAAATATATACAACAGTAAATGTCTCCAGTTGAACCTCCCAACCCCAAATGACTCAACACTGATTCAAATTCATCTGTGTATTAAACTCTTGTACACCTCCCACCCTCACCTGACCTTATTCCCCATTCAACACCAAAACAATCTTCACCTCCTCTTGCCATGACTGTTTCCCTCGCCTCACTTTCCTCTCTCTCCTAACCCACATTGCCCTTTTAATGTAAAAATATTGTCTTTTTTGCTGTCATTATAGCGTGTCATTTTTTGACTGCTAGTCTGGTCCCACTGTAAATATTTCCAGTATAGCATTACAGTTCCTAAATCGCTTCACAGCCTCCCAGGGGGAAAGCAGAATTCCCATCTCAGATTCTCATGTGGAGCGTTTTCGGCAAATATTATTGCTGCTGGTCCTCCACCCTCTGCTGGGCCCAAAACAACTCACCTTTCAATCCCCCCTTTTCCCATAACCTCCCTTTCCTTTTTTTTTTCTCCTGCAAAATCTGCAAACTGCAGGTAATCTCTGTTTACTTATCTTGGCATACCAGTCCTGCTCTTGCCTCTGTTTCTAATATTGTGTTTTCCCCTCCCTCTGTGTTGCCTCATCATGACTCTGACATCTCTAACCTGCTACTTTTCCCTCCATTGCCTCCATT